GAGTCTCTCGTGACGTCGTGAGTCTCTCGTGTTGTCGTGAGTCTCTCGTGTCGTCGTGAGTCTCTCGTGTCGTCGTGAGTCTCTCGTGTCGTCGTGAGTCTCTCGTGTTGTCGTGAGTCTCTCGTGTCGTCGTGAGTCTCTCGTGTTGTCGTGAGTAACTCGTGTCGTCGTGAGTCACTCGTGTCGTCGTGAGTCTCTCGTGACGTCGTGAGTCTCTTGTGTTGTCGTGAGTCACTCGTGTTGTCGTGAGTAACTCGTGTCGTCGTGAGTCACTCGTGTTGTCGTGAGTAACTCGTGTCGTCGTGAGTCTCTCGTGACGTCGTGAGTCACTCGTGTTGTCGTGAGTCACTCGTGTCGTGAGTCTCTTGTGTTGTCGTGAGTCACTCGTGTTGTCGTGAGTCACTCGTGTCGTGAGTCACTCGTGTCGTGAGTCACTCGTGTCGTCGTGTGTCGTGAGTCTCTCGTGTCGTCGTGAGTCACTCGTGTCGTCGTGAGTCACTCGTGTCGTGAGTCTCTCGTGTTGTCGTGAGTCTCTCGTGTTGTCGTGAGTCTCTCGTGTTGTCGTCACCTGTTTGTCTCTCTGACACTCACCTGTAATAATAATAATATATTTTATAAAAAAACTCAAAAGTGCTACAAAATTAAAAAGGGTGAAACAAAACAATAAAAACAATTAAAGCAACATAATAAAAGCTGTGACATTCATGCCGGCATGGCATAATGTGGGGGATTTCAAAATCTAGTTAAAGGCTATTCTAAAAAGATGCGTTTTTAGGCCTTTTTTGATGCTTCTAGAGTCTGTGGTGTCCTCAGCTGGTTTGGGAGGGCATTCCTCTCGGAGCAGCGGAGCAGAAGGCTCGGTCTCCCATGGTCTTCAGTTTTGTCCTTGGTGGGATGAGGAGGTTTGCCTTTACTGAACGTAGGTTCCTCGTGGAGGTTTGTGGGGTGAGCAATAACTTGATGTAGGAGGGAGCATCTCCATATATGCACTGATGAGTGAAGAGGGTGATTTTTTTTGTCAATCCTGAGTGAGACCGGGAGCCAGTGCAGTGATTTGAGGATGGGTGTGATGTGTTCGTACTTCCGCACCTGTCTCTCTGACACTCACCTGTCTGTCTCTCGGACACTCACCTGTCTGTTTCTCTGGCACTCACCTGTCTCTCTCACTCGCACTGTCTCTTTGACACTCACCTGTCTCTCTCGTTGCCCAGGTAACCAGGAGAGGGGCTGGAACGACCCCCCCCAGTTCTCCTACGGCCTCCAGAAGGCCCGCGGGCCTCAGAGGAGCCTCCTGACCCGGAGAGCAGGTAAACAACACCTGAACTAATGTAAACAAACCTTCTTTTAAGCTGTACCTGCTTCAGTGTTGCTGCTCCCCCTCTGTCTGAAACCAGAGTTGCTCTGATTGTTCAGCTGGCCGGCTCTGTTGGGATTGGTCAACAGTTTAGAGGTGTCCCGCCCTTTAGCCTATCACGTACAATGTGTTGCAGCATGAAAGTTCTGTAATAATGTCACTATGTTGAGGAAGTAATCAAAGAAGTCTGATGGAGGCGTTTCAGGCGGGAGGTGGGTGGGAACTCTATCTGCTTAGCCTAGCTTCCCTTAGCCTAGCATAGCCTAGCTTAAATGCAGCAGTGTATGAATGTTTACAGAACAGTATCAACTCTAACTCTTCGACCCTGATTGGTCTTCAGGTGCCCCGCCCCCTGCCTCCACCAACCCTATGGCTCTGCCTCCAGGCACTGTGGCCCCGCCCCCTCCCTCCACCAACCCTCTGGCTCCACCTCCAGGCGCTGTGGCCCCGCCCCCTCCCTCCACCAACCCTCTGGCTCCGCCTCCAGGTGTTGTGGCCCCGCCCCCTCTGCAACCAGGTAAGCAGCAGGAGGAGAAGCATGTTTCGTCTGATCAGCGTGATTGACAGCAGACTCCTCCCCTCATTCACAGCCCGCCCTCCTGCCAGCTGTTTGGCCACGCCCCCTCCGGGACCAATGAGAGGCCAGAGAGAGGCGGACAGCAGCCAATCAGAGAGTGAGCCTGATGCAGAGCGAGTGATGTCCGTCCTGAACCGAGCACTGAGCGCCTGCCGACACAACGCCAGCGTGAGGACCAGCTCTGTCATTAAATATATATATTAGAAGTATATATACATATAATATATAATAATAATAATCCTTATATTTATTATAGCGCTTTATCAATGACTCAAAGCGCTTTACAAATACACATTACATATACAGATCATACATACATGTAATGGTCATCTACTGTGGACAATACCCACAGGAGCAAGTTCAGGTGAAGTGTCTTGCCCAAGGACACAACGGCCTGACGCAGTGGGGCGGGAGCGGGTTTCGAACTGGAGTTCCCCAACACCCCCTTGATCTGATGATCAAACGCACAGACCACTGCGCCACCCGTCCCCCAAATATAGACCTCTGTGTGACCTCTGACCTCTGTGTGACCTCTCCAGGATCAGGTGTGCAGTGACGTGGCGAAGAGGCTCCGCCTCCTGGAGGCCAGCTGGAGGGGAGGGCGGCTCAGCCTCCCAGTGAGGAGACGCATGGAGAGCCTGACTCTGGGTACCTGTCTCTCTCTCACCTGTCTCTCTCTCACCTGTCTGTGTCAACCTTCTCTCACCTGTCTCTCTCACCTGTCTCTCACCTGTCTCCCGCTCACCTGTCTCTCTCTCACCTCTCACTCTCACCTGTCTCTCACCTGTCTAACTCTCCCTGTCTCTCTCTCTCAGATCTGCAG